GTGTGTATGTGTGTGTGTGTGTGTGTGTGTGTGTAAGTATGTCAATCGCTTATAACTTTTGAACGGTTGAACCGATTTCATCGCAGTTGGTGCCATTCAAAAGGGCTTCGCCAAACTTAGATTTCCTGAGAATTTGAACCGATTCAGACTGATAGATTTTAAGAAATTTTGAAAAATCTCAAAAAAAATAAGAAAAAAATCATTTTTGAAAGTGGTTTTTTTGGAATATCTTTTCAACGGCTCGATCGATCAACTTCAAAAACTAATCCGCCCTTAAGCTTGAAAAACCACGCCGATCGGCGCTAATCCGGTCAAAATCGGTTGATTCGTTCGAGAGATATCGTGAACGAAAGAAAACTGAAAAAAGTGTTTTTTCGGGATTACTCCGAAATTTTCGGTTTGATCAATTAAAACCTGAAAATAACTTATGAGGATGATAAAACTGCGTCGAATGGCGCCAACTACGTGAAAATTAGTTGATCCATTCAAAAGTTATTACGGTTTGAAAATTCCAAAAATAGTGTTCTAGTTCTATGAAACTTCTATCAGACTTTTGAGCTGGGAAAGCTCAAATGCATAGAAATATTATTTCTTTGAACTCAGCGAGCTCAAAATACCACATAAATTATATTTTGAGCTGAAAAATCTCAAAAATGTCATAAGTACAATTTTAAGCGCCCAGGAATGAAATTAGCGGGAAGTTGCACGGATGGCCTTTAGAATTAAAAAACCATAGAATTAAAAAAATCGACTAATCAATAATTGTCCAAGAAGTAACCGTTCAGCTACCCCTAAGAATGAAAATTGACCAAAATAAAAAAAAAATCTGTTATAAAACTTCCACAATAGCTATAGTCACACATTGTTTTTCAGAAACTTCATTTTATTTCATTTCAAAATTTATTCAAGACATAATTAGAAAAATAAAATTTATAATAATTCATTTACTACGGCCTACCCTTTTAGAGATCAGATCTCTAAATGTATACCTGCAATTTTCTTTAAATTTATTTTTGCATGATTACTTCTTTTGCGATTCAGAGACTCACTAATAACGAATTTTACGTATATCTTATCCAGAGTTGAGAACGAAAAAACATTGCCTTATAAAAATTTGCAAAGTTATAAAAAATCTCAAAGTTTTTTATACAAAAAAATTAAATCAAAGATGGTAATCATCGAGGAATTTTCTTTTTCTTCCGGAAATCCGAAAAAACGATAAAGCAGATAACTTTGAAATTATTTTTTCAATTTTTTTTTTAAAGTTTTATTAAATTTGATAAAAATCATAAAATTTCATTTTGATTCAATAAAATCGTATAAAATTATTTAAAGCTCTCGGTAACAATACTTGCGGTACTGAATAGAAATTATATAGATTTTTAAAAATTATCATAAAATTTTATTAAATTTCATGAAACTATGAGAGTAAATTTTTACAGAATCTTATAAAATTATAACTAAGAACTTAATATCTTACTTTTTTTAATTTCAAAAATTTATATGAAACTGGAAAATTTTAGAAATCTTATGCAATCTTTTTTTCTATTAGAACATTATAATTATAGATATTCCGCAAAATTTTGTGGAATTTCATAGAAATGAAAAGGGCGATGATGAACTTCTTGATGTTAAATTCTCAAATAAATAAATCTTTTCAATTAATAATATCCCACTTCTCCAAATAGAATGTTCGTATCAAGAGTATCAAGGCTGACACTAGCACTGAACTTATTGCAGAAATTTTATTTTTATAATATACTTATATTTCCAATAAATTTGGAAGTTTTTAAAAAAGCGAGCTTATTTAAAAGTTTTTCTAAAAAGTAATATAAAAATATCAATTTTTAAATATGCATTACTTCTAACCAGCTTTCAATAGTAATTAAGGGCTAGTTTTTCAATCCAGGATAAAATTTTATTCAATGATAAAATATATCTATATATTTCATATATATAAATATACTGGAAATAATAATTTTATCCTGGATAAAATTTTATCTTGGATTGAAAAACTGGCCCTCAATGAACCTGCGTTACAATAATTTATTTCTCTGTTCGCGATAAAAAAAGTTTTTTGACATGATCGCAACCCGCCAAAACTTTGAAGTTGATATAGAACGCACTCTAGCGTTCGCACCAGTTGCGTGTCATACGCTTAATCGAATAAAATGAAAGTCAGTTGAATTTTTAACGGAATTTAATTTTCTGCACTAGGTGGAGACGTTAAATAAATACTAGAGGATACTCCAAGATCAACGTTGGATATACGGATATACACAAAAGCAACATACGAAAGTTTATAGAACAGCGGCTTTGACGTCAAATTCCAACTGGAAAATTTTTTCTTAAGTTGAGATCAACTGTCTTATCTACGTGAATTGTGACTTTAACCCCTTTAACCCAAAGCAATACTGCCCGTCTGGAATTAATGTCCGATATATCATATGTATATCGTTCATGATTGTTCTTTTTATTATTATTCTGAGTATTTACTAAATTTTTTTTCATTGAAAATGATCAAAGTCCAGGATTTTTCATGAAAAAATTTTTCTAATGATCTATTCAAGTAATGTTTATATTGTCGACTTTGAAGTAATCAATATAGTTTTAAAACTAATTTCAATTAGAGTGTCAAATAATTATTAAAAGAAATCGAATCAATATCATTCATAACAAAAAATGATATTAATTTTTAAATTGCATTTTTTAATTTCATTGACTAAATTAGCAGTTTGAAGTAAAAATCTTAAACAAGTTTTAAAGAACTAGTTATATGTAATTCATTGAAGATTATAGTTATGTTACTTATATAATATGGCGTCTTCCGATATATCTGATGATAAATTCGAATGTAAAACTTTGGAGTACAGAGTTTTTAGAAGTTCTAGTTATTCACCCACATATTTACCTGAGTAAGCACTTTTAATTGAACATGTAATTATTATTTAATTAATAATATTCTAATAAAATGATTTCATTTTTATTTTTCACAGAAATATATTAGTGGATAAGCCTCAAGATCAATCTTCTCGGTGGTCGTCCGATCATGACCACTATCCACAGGTAAACATTGGCTCAAATATAGACGTTTTTATAAATATGCATACAACAAAATTAACAAAGATTTTGTTTATTTAACTTGAAATTTTAGTATTTAGTTCTTAAATTATCTCGGCCGGCGATTGTTAAATTCCTCACATTCGGAAAATTTGAAAAAGCTCTAGTATGCAACATAAAGAAGTTTATAATTTATGGTGGTATGGAGCATGAAAATATGACCGAACTTTTAAAAGGGTGTGTTGTAAATACTTTTATTTATTAATATTCCTTAAAAATATATATAAACTTACTAATTGTTCTTTACTTTTTTTAGAAGCTTGAAGAATGATTCAGTAGCAGAAACATTTGAAATTAAACATAAAATTGGGTTGGATGAAATATACTATCCAATAAAATATATCAAAATAATGCCTATTCAATCATGGGGGCCGAGCTTTAATTTTAGCATTTGGTATGTTTCTTTCTATTATTTATTATAATTATATTTTAATTGATGTACACATAAGTATGTAAATTTTTAATATTTTCCTAGGTATGTACGCCTAACCGGTATTGATGATCCGAAAATTGTTGACCCTTGCATCAAGTCGGTTAACCAGTATTTTGAAAGTGAAATTCTGAGACTTTGTATGAAATATTTTCGCTGTATAAAACAGACAGAAATAGTTGAAACTCTGGGTAAAGTATCTAATGTTCAATTAGAAGATCACCGATTATCAGCTTTATACGATATTTTAGTAAATAAGGGAGATTATCTTGAAGCTGAGCGATTTATTACCGATGCTGTTTCCAGTGGATTAATTGACGAATATACTAAAAATCAACCCTACTGTGCGACTTGGACAAAAGTTACATGCGACGATCCAAGACCAGGTATGAGAGGTGGTCATCAAATGGTGTTTGATTCCGTAGCAGAAATTATATATTTGTTCGGTGGATGGAATGGGCATAAGGATTTATCTGATTTATGGTCTTATGATATAAGAGAAAAAAAATGGACTCTTATTTGCCAAGATACAGAAAGTGTAGGCGGACCAGGAGCTCGGTCTTGTCATAAAATGTGCCTTGATCCTGAAAAAAAACAATTATTCACATTAGGAAAGTATTTAGATACGCAATATCGGTGTGCTGAAAATTTAAAAAGTGATTTTTACGTTTATGATATACAATCTAATAAATGGACTAAAATATCTGATGATACGAGTGTTAACGGAGGCCCAAAACTTATATTTGATCATCAGATATGTATGGATGTTGAAAATAGAGTAATTTATGTCTTTGGTGGTCGAATTCTCGTAACTTCAGTTGGTATTGATGACCATGCAGTTGGAATATCATTAAGTTCAGTCGAGCCTATTTTCTCGGATCTTTATTCATATGACGTGTCAACTAATACTTGGAAACTTTTAGCCTGTGATATTGCTCGATCAAGTATTCCAATAAATGTACCTACAATAAAGTCTAGAGTTGGTCATTCAATGCTTTTTCACCCAAGTGATCGAAAATTGTATATTTTTTCTGGTCAAAGAAGTAAGGAGTATCTAAATGATTTCTTTACGTTTGATGTGGATACAAGTATAATAGAACACATTAGTTTATCAGATTTTGAAAGTGAAGAATTGAATCATATACCAGCAGCAGGATATACGCAAAGAGCAACAATTGATTCCGAGTCAGGTGAAATTTATGTCCTATCGGGATTAAGTAAAAACAAAGAAAAACGGGACGAAAATGTACATAATTCATTTTGGGTGTATAAAATAAAAAGCAATACTTGGTCTTGTGTTTATCGAAATGAAAATGTTGGTGAAAAATATTGGAATAAAATGCAAGATTTTGAGCCATGTCCTCGTTTCGCTCATCAATTGGTTTATGATAACGTTAGAAAAGTTCACTATTTATTTGGTGGTAATCCTGGACGTACTTATTTACCAAAATTAAGACTTGATGATTTTTGGGAGCTAAAACTTAGTAAGCCACAACAAGATCAAATTCTTACAAGATGTAAACTTATAATTAGGAAACATAAATTTAAAGAACTTGCTTATTGCAATAGTATGAAAGCACTTGAGTACTTACAAAAAGATATTTCTGAAATTATTGACCATAATGATGTTGAACAAACTAAGGACTTTCAACTATTGACTTCTGTGCTCTTCTACGAACAGAATTTAGGGAGACATTTGACAAAAGTAACTGACATTTCATCAAATACGAGTAGTTCGGATACATTAGCGAAAGAATTCCATCAGCGTCGTACGAAATTATTTGATCAGCTCATGAAATTTTTCCCCGAAAAACTCACTCAACCGCGCACTAATTTAGTTGATCTTTTACTTTTGTGATATAGTTATTGTTGAATTCGTTTCTTACTTTAATGAACAATATACTGTTAAATATTCAAATCATACAATCTTATACGAAATTTTCATGTTAGTAAATAAAAAAGATATAATTTTTTTTTACTGTTTTTATCAAAGATTTGAAAATAATAAGTTTCATGCAATGTGATAGATAAAAATCGGTAAAATTTAATGTACATCGCGTTGTAACCATTTATTGTGAATTAATAAAAATTTATTATTATGATTTTATCAATTTCTAAAGAATTACGATATTTTTATAGGCTAAATTTAAAAATCGTTTAATTGATGCATATTTGGTGAGCAATTTTTTGATAAAAAAAATAGTGTAATCGTCTTTTGAATAATTGTGCCAAAGTCATATTTTCTATTGTTCAACTCTATTGAAATTTTGAACTGAATTTGAAATAATTTAAAAATAACATATTAAACAGTAAAAGAAGAAAGTAGGACATTCCAAATCACGTCCTAGATTCACTCTATTTACCAATAAAATTACACTAGCTTTGAAACTATGGAGTGCTTTGCTACTTCAAATTTTTACCATAGGGTCTGGAAAATTGTGAAGTTATGTCAATGAATTTCTTTAGAGTGACAAGTGCTACATCCTTTCTTTAAATCAAGGCTGGAGTTTCAACTTTCAGTACAAATATATTGTAAAAAATTGAATGTAGTTACCAATAATGAACATACATGAATTTTTATTTCCAGCTTTATTCAACGTTCGATTTTTTTAATTTTAACAAGCAAATGTTTCGTTAAAAATATTAAATTTTTTTTTTATCAATCTGTTATTTAAGAAAGTATTTATTAGTCTTCAGATATTTTTATTTTTATATTCTCTTTAATAGATTTTTACATCTTTTACTTTATTGTAATCAAAAAATTACTTATGTTAACAAATCGATTTTTATTTGCATATAAAAACTTAATACTCATAATTAAAAAATCGCAATGGCAACTGACAATATTAAAACATGAATAAACTAGTCGCCTCATTTAATTAGCTTTGCTGAATACATTTTTTTTTTTTTGTTAAGTTCTAATGAGTTTAAGAATTGTTTTAAATCATAGTTTATATTCTCTAATGTAAGATTTTTAAATGAGGAAAAAATGTATAAATTTCATAAGTATAGTGTAAAAAGGATAAGGCTAAAATAAAATAACAATAATATAAGATATTGACGGAATTGTAAATTTTTTTTGTTGTGTAAATAGATCAGTTGGACATTTATGATATTAAAAAGCGATTTTTTTATTAATAAATAAACATATCATTAAACATTATTTTCCAGTTGATGGAAATTTTATGCATTAATTTATTACTATTCTCGATAATTTTAATTCTACTATTATGGTGCAGTACTTACCAAAATTATAACGTTAGGAATATAGTGGTAAAGATACGATACATTTTTTAGACATTTCGCCAAAAATCAACCAGGGAAAAAATGATCAGACATGGTCAGGTCTGAAAGCCCATTGTTACTTTTAATGAATTACAGTTGTAACACCAGTAGTTACCCATCCAACTACTAACCACGCTCAATGCTGCTTACCTTTGGTGATATCCGTGCGCCTTGAAGTTCCCGCCTGCTGTGCTGCTATCTTATGTGATAAAAATTCTATAAAGTACATAACGTATCAAATAAGTTTATCATAAATATAATATAAAAATTAATTATAAACCAATTTTCTCAACCGTGATTTTAATAATTAAATGAGTTTGTTTTATCACCAATGCGATCAATATTTTTTGACTAGTTTTAAACTAATTCAAGTCGAGATGGAGCATTCCATCTTCACTAAAGATCGAGACGGGATTGTCTCTTGTTGTTAGGTCGATGGACTCCATCAAACAAGAATACTAGTAAGCTGGAAGTTGTTAGTATCTGTTCGAGGTATAAAGATGTTAATAAACGAAAATCGTCTGAGAGCGAAAGCAACTTTGAAAAAATTCGTGAAAAATTAACCAAGTCAGGACTCGATCCTGGGGAGGGGACAGATAGAAGCGTAGGCCTCTGAGAGTTAAGGTAGTTGTAGCGTGAAAGGCATTTCAACAGAAAGTTATGAAATTTTTTTTATCGAAAGATCAATATATTAATAATTCACTACCAAAATTTCAGATCAATTGACCGCACCGTTTTTGAGTAATTAATTTTCGAAATTGCATCTTTTACACGTAGAGGTATAGAGAGATGGTAAAGTTAGTATGAAATCTTTGGCCCACTCGAGTGGTACAAATCAGTCAGCCATGAGTTCCGCTGCTGGTTGGACTTTTATTTGTAACATTATCACATCAGTCAGTCAAGGAATGCCATTTGTTATAATCAGCTTCGAGTGAAATGTCTCGCTACTTTTCAACAGGCAGCAACGAAGAACTATCCAATGAGTTATTCAGCATAAACGTGGTAAAAGCAGTTCGCAAGTACTTATGCTGAATTGAATAGGAACCATTTAACTTCACGTATCATATAATCTACCGTGAGGGAGTAGGCAATGGTAAAATCCCTTACGCGCTGGAACATGAAGTTAAGCATATGTACGAAGCTTTCGATAAGCTGTACGGTAGTCGCGAAGCACTAAAAATGATCTTTGTCATTGTAACTAAACAAATCAGCACCCGTTTGTTCTACAACCATCGTGAAAACTCGCCACCAGGTACAGTCGTCGATGATGTTATCACTAATCCAAAGAGGTACGATTTCTTCATTGTTTCTCAATGTGTCAGACAAGGATCTGTATTTAACTTTCCAGTTGACACACATATATTTTAACTGGAGTGAAACTGTCCGAGTTCCTGCGCCTTGCCAATACGCTCACAAATTAGCGTTTTTAATTCCTCAAAGTATTTACCGACCACCAAGTAGCCACTTGAGAAGTGTCGTTTAATTAGCTGAAGCAAGCCTCAATGCGCAGATTCCCGTTGCTTTAGCACTGCAGCAAGAGCCGGAGCTGGAGCAGTAGCAGCAGCTCCCGGAGCTCCAGCTGATGTTTTTTCTGTTAGTAGATTTTTTTCTACGGATGATAGCGAATGAACGTCCGATTTGTATGACCAATTTTATACAATTATTAATTTAAAATTCACTGTGAAAAAAAAAAAAAATTATATGTATTTTTATGATAATAATTTTCATTTTTATATTTATAATTATATATTATAATTATAACTATAATTTTTTTTTGCTCGACGGGCAGAAAGTGTCAACTTTCGGCCCGCTGCGCTAAACGAAAGTGCCGCTTCCTGCCTTCGTCGAGCAAAAAAATAGTATACACTCCACGGAAAGTAAATAAGAAAGCCTCAGATCACATGTTTGTCAACCTCGTCTTCGCCTCGACCGACAATTACATGTGATCTGAGACATTTCTTACTTTACTTCCCTAGGTGTGTAATATACTATTAATTATAATTTTATTTTAATTTACAAGAATGTATGGATAACATTCACATTCCATGCTTGTAAAGGTGGACCATCAGGAACTTCACCGTCATGGTAATTATATTTTATAATCCATTTTATAGTTCATTTGACTATTCATCAAATAACTTTGTAATAAAAATGATTAGTTTTTACATTCAAATAATTAATAAATTTTGAAATGAACAAAATTCATTATTAATTGTGTTATACCTTCAAATTTTATTATTTATAAATTATAATTAATTAATTAATAAAGAAATTGCAATAATATATTGTGTGACTAGGGATGAAACAAAACGATTTCAGACCAGAGTGAAGTTGCCTGCCCGAGCGAAGCGAGGGTTGGCATTACTTAGTCTGAAATCGTGTTTCATCCCGTGTCACACATTAGATTTTTCATATAAGTTGCATTAAAAATGCTAGTTTCAATGTCTGGAGCCAACCAGAACTAGATAGTTTCAGACGAATAGCGAAAATACCATTTTATTATAAAACTTATAATAAAATAGAAAGTAATGGTTTATTTTTTATTAATCATTTTTCGTAAATTGAATAGTTTTCTTTTGTCATTCTTATTTATGCTTAGTAACAGAATTATAATATATATGTCAGTACGGTTAACGGTTAGAATGACAATTATAAAGGTATAAAATAAACAAACAATTGATAGGATTGAAAATAAAGCTGCAACTTCATCTCGAGGGCAGAAAATCGTCATTTTCTGTCCGCCGGGAAGAAATGATTGATTCCTGCCCGGCAACAGTCGCATTGGTCTGAAATTGTCTAGTTTCGGTTGGCTCAATAGGCATTGAAACTCGCATTTTCAATGCAGGTTATACATATGAAATAGTATTTTTCTTACCTGGGGCAGGAAAATAAGAAATGTCTCAGATTACATGTAATTGTTGACCGAGGCGAAGCCGAGGTCGACAAACATGTGATCTGAGGCTTTCTTATTTCCTGCCCGTGGTGAGAATACTATTTTTCTCCTCGACGGAGGCGGAAAGCGGCATTTTCGTTTAGCGCAGCAAGCAGAAAATTGACACTTTCCGCACGGAGGGGAGAAAACATAATTAATTACATACGGAATTAGAATCAAAATTTTAAAACTTAAAAAATTTTAAAACTTAGGGCCAGTTTTTCAATCCAGGATAAAATTTTATCTAATGATAAAATATATCTATATATTTCATATATATAAATATACTGGCCATGATAATAATACTTTTATACTGGATTGAAAAACTGGACCTTAATATCGGATGGAAGGCACCTAACTTCCTTAGAATATACTGTCTAAATAAAAATCTTCTTCATTGCATTTGGAATTTTACTCCATCGGAGTTATACCCAATCGAAAATCTTGGTTATCGGAATCTTGGTAATTGGAGCCTACAGCCCATATATGAGCTATAGAAATTTACGTCAACGGAACCTATGCCATCGGTGTTTTAAGTCATCACTGTCGTGGCTATAGAGTTCTACTCGATTAAAAGAAGAGAAAAAAATATTAGTTATTTATGTACCTTGGGCGAGTCACGCGCCAATACGGTCGAGGTG